TTTTTTTTTTTTTTTTTTTTATTGCCCCGCAAAAAATAAAATAAAACAAATAAATAAATAAATAATAAATTAAATAAATAAATAAATTAATTAAATAAATAAATAAATAAATAAATAAATAAATAAATAAATAAATAAGGACAGAAAGGAATGAACTAAATAAGTATAGACAGTGTATTTAGGGATTTGGTCAGAGGGCAACACGAGCAATAGCAGCAGCAACAGCAGCAGCAGCAGCAACAGCAGCAGCAACAGCAGCAGCAGCAGCAACAGCAGCAGCAGCAGCAGCAGCAACAGCAAAGTACTGTTAATAAGTCAGTAGCAGAAGACAATCATATAATATGCAAGACAGAGGTGTATAAATAAATAAAAAAAAAATATTATTTATTTTTGTTTATAATTAATTAAATAAATAAAAATAAATAAAATAAAATAAAATAAATAAATAAAAAATAAATAAATAAATAAATAAATAAATAAAAAAATAAATAATAAATAAATACGTAAAAGGTGGACGGACCGGGGATCGATCCCGGGACCTCCTGAATGCAAATCAGACGTGATACCACTACACCATCCGCCCGCAATAAATAAGCCAGCAGCAGCAGCAGCAGCAACTGCAGCAGCAGCAGCAGCAACTGCAGCAGCAGCAGCAGCAACAACAACAACAGCAGCAGCAGTAGCAACTGCAGCAGCAACTGCAGAAGCTGCAGCAAAACAGCAGCAGCAACTTAGGTATGTATAGCTTGGGCTATAGAGGAGAGATACTTGCTGCTGCTAGGAGCCTAAGGTTGTATATGTTGCTGCTGCTGCTGCAGCAGCAGCAGCAGCAACAGCATCTGCTGCCTACAGTAGCAAGCCTACAAGACGAGAAGCAGCAAACAAGACTTTTTGCATGCATAATAAACCCTCATAAAGATATATAATTTATTCTCTTTCTTTTGGGGCTTTTTAAATGTCCTGCATGCATGCAAAAAGAAACAAAAAAAAGAATTCTTTTTTATAAATAAATCCTTATATGCAAATAAATGCATTAGGGTTTAGCTAGGGTTTAGGGTTTAGGGTTTATATAAAACCCTAAACCCTAAACCCTTCCTTGCTAAAAAAGTAATTTTTTTTCTTTATTAATATAATTAATATAAAATAAATAAATAATTATTTTTTTTTTCTTTTTTATTAAGGAGATAAAAACAAACAAATGCTGCTGAGGAGCCTTTTAGGGGGGCCCCCCACCTTGGGGGGCCCCCTGGGGGCCCCCCTCCTGTACTGATGCCTCTATATGAAGAAGGGTTTAGGGTTTAGGGTTTTTATGTTGTTATTGAGAAATAGAGAAGAAGAAAAGTTATTTAGGGAAGGAAGTACTTTTGCTGCAGCAGCAGCTCTGCCTCTGGTGCTGCTGCTGCTGCTGCTGCTGCTGCTGCAGGGTTTGCTGTTCCTGTCTTCTTTGTCTCATAGATTCAGGTGTATATGGAGGTACATAACCCTAAAAATAATATTTTAATTAATTTAATTAATTAATTAATTAAGTAGATAAACAATGATTGCTGCTGCTGCTGCTGCTCCAACCCTCCAAGTGTCTGTACACTCCAAGCTGACGATACAGTCGAGCAAACATCTCCCACACACACAGCAGCAGCAGCAGCAGCAAAAGTAAATGCAGCAGCAGCAGCAGCGGCTGCTGCTGCTCTACTCAGCTCGCTGCAGCAGGGGTTTTGTGCCTCGCTCAAGCCCAGAAGCAGCAACAGTCGATGGCTCTGCTGCTGCTCCGTCGGCTGCAGCTGCACCTGCAGCAGCAGCAGCAGCAGCAGCAGCAGCAGCGCATGCAGGTCCCCTGTCTTCTGGAGGACGGCGGCATGCATCAAGCCTGCGGCTGCTGCTGCAGCGTCTCTTTCCTTCCTTAGCAGCAAATAACTATAAAAATAATGCTGCACAAGAGGGGCCCACAGGGGCCCTCTCAGAGCAGCAGCAGCAGCAGCAGGATCAGAAACAGCAGCAGGAACAGCAGCAACAGCAGTCTTCTGCAGATGCACTGTCCCCTGTCCCTGTGGATGCAGCAACAGCAGCAACAGCTGCTGCTGCAGCAGCTGAGGCAGCACCTGCTGCAGCCGCTGCTATAGAAGAGATTGCTGTACACCCAACTCGTGCTGCAACAGCAGCAGCACATCAATCAGCAGCTGCAGCACTAGCAGCTGAGGCAGCATCAGCAGCATCAGCAGCACCAGCACCTGAACCACCAGCTGCAGCAGCAGCAGCAACAGCAGCAGCAGCAGCAGCAGCAACAGCAGCAGCAGCAGCAGCAACAGACATACCCCATAAGGAATTAAAGTTAACTTTTCCTGTTAAATATTTAGCAGCAGCAGAAGAACTATTTAGGCCGCCACCATCCTCCCTGCTGCTGCTGCGGTCGCAGCTGCCCCCAGCAGCTGCAGCAGCAGCAAATGCAGCAGCAACAGGAACAGCAGCAGCAGCAACACCAGCAGCAGCAGGCCCGAGAAAAGTGCGTGGCGGGGGGAATACAGGAGGCAGCAACAGGAATACTAACAGCAGCAGCAGCAACAGCAGCAGAGGCAGCAGCAACAGCAGCAGCAGCAGCTTCCCTGGGTCCATGGCGCCTTTCCCATTTGGTGTTGCTCAGACTGCTGAGCGTAGGGTCGGTGGTTTGCTGCAGCAGCAGCAGCAGACAGCAGCAGCAGCAGCAGCAGTGGATGCTGCATTGCTGCAGCAGCAAACACAGCCATTGGCCAACAGCGAGGCAGCAGCCCTCGGCGCGCGGCTGCAGCAGGCGCTGCAGCACCTTCAGCAGCAGCAACAACAACAGAAGCAGCAGCAGCAGCAGCAGCAGCAGCAGCAGCAACTCTCCCACGTCCCGCCGCTCTTGCAGCAATCGCCTGTGCAGACAGCTCTGCAGCTGCTGCGGCAGCAGGAAGCAGCAGCAGCAGCAGCTGCTGCAGCAGCAGCAGCAGCAGCGGATGGAGCGCGAGAGAATAGGAAAGGTGTTCCCCGTAATCACCGCCATCTGCAGCAGCAGCAGCAGCAGCAACAGCAGCAGCAGCAGCAGCAGCAAGAGCGACTAGAAGCAGTGGCCCGTGCTATGCGGCAGTACGATACTGTGGGGCCCCCCTCTCCCTTTGCTGCTTACAGCAGCAGCACTGCACACACAGCAGCAGCAGCAGCACCAGCAGCAGCACCAGCTGCAGCAAGTGCAGCAGCAGCAATGGGAGCAGCAGCAGCAACAACAACAGGAGCAGGACAGGGTCCCATGCTGCAGCAGCAAAGCGCAGCAGCAGTGCTGCAGTCAGCATTAGAGGCAATAGAAAAGAGTTTGCTGCAGGGGTCCTCTAGAGGCGCACCTCGTGCTGCTGCTGCTGCTGCTGCTGCAGCACCTCGTACTGCAGCAGGAGGAGGAGCAGCAGGAGCAGCAGGAGCAGCACCAACAACAGCAGCAGCAGCAGCAGCAGCAATAGAGGAACTTATTAGTCATTTATCTTGGGTACGATGGGCATTAAAGAAAGTACAGCCTAATCTAACTGTCCCCTTGCTGCCTTTGCTGCAGCAGCTGCAGCAGCAAGCAGCAAAACTGCAGCGGAAGGCTACAGCTGCAGCAGCACCAGCAGCAGCACCAGCAGCAGCAGCAGCAGCAGCAGCAGGACGTCCGTCCTCTCCCTCTACTAAGACTATACCTAGACGTATAGGGTCTCCTTGTCTCTTTGCCCTAAGGGAGTGGCTATCGCAGCAGCAGCAGCTTGCTGCTGTTGCTGCTGCTGCTGCTGCTGCTGCAGGACAGCAACAAGAACCGGACCACGACCTGCAGGAGCAGCAGCAGCAGCTGCTACAGGAGCGGCAGCAGCAACAAATGGCTGCTGCACTAGGGAGTCTGCTGCAGCGAGCAGCAGAGGAGACACTAGATAAGGAAGGTATTTGTTTACCAAGGATACAAACATTAACTACTTTGCTGCTAGATGATGCTGCTGTGCTGCGCTATCAGCTGCAGCAGCAGCAGCAGCAGCACGAACAGCAGCTGCAGCAGCACCAGCAGCACCAGCGGGCAGTTGTTGAGGAGAGAGGGGGAGCACAAGCTGGCGTTGGAGGAGACACAGCAGCAGCAGCAGCAGCAGCAGCAGCAGATGCAGATGCGTATTTAGACTCCCTTAGCATTCAGGCAGCAGCACGAAGACACCAGCTGCTGCTAGATGCTGCACAGCAGCAGCAACAAGAGCAGCAGCAGCAGCAGGGACGTGACTCCTCTGCAGCAGAAGCAGCAGCAGCAGCAGCAAATCTGTGGCCGCCGAGGGCCCCCCTGAAGCAGGTAAGCAGCTACAGAGGTGCTGCTGCAGCAGGAAAAGCTGGTGCTGCTGCTGCTGCTGCTGCAGCAGCAGCAGCAGCAGATTTGCTGCCAGCAGACAATATAACATTAAGAAGTTTAGCTCGTCATCTGCAGCTAGAAGAAGAAAGGGTACTGGAGCTAGCGGGGGCCCTGCTTGGGGGCCCCCCAGGGGGCCCCCATGGGGTACCTGCAGTGACACCCCAATTAAGAATAACAGAAGAAGAAGCAGAAGTAATTAGTGATGAATTAAATTGTCTACATTTACTTAAACTTAGCAGCAGAACTGTCTCTAAACTGCAGCAGCAGCAGCAGCAGCAGCAGCAGCAGCAGATGAGGAGGGCACCTCCTGTTATTACTGTTATGGGGCATGTTGATCATGGCAAGACTACCCTACTAGATGCACTACGCAGGTCTGCTGCTGCTGCTGCTGCTGCTGCTGCTCTTGTTGTTGTTGTTGCTGCTGCTGTTGCTGCAGTTGCTGCTGCTGTTGCTGCTGGTGCAGCAGCTTGCATGCAAGAGATAAGGTCTCTTTTGTCTTTGTTTTCCTTTTTTTTTGCATGCATTTTTATTTGTTGTATTTATGAGTTTATTTATTATTTATTTATTTATTTATTTATTTATTTATTTATTTATTTATTTATTTATTTATTTATTTATTTTATTTGTTATACGCAGATCCTCTGTTGCAGCAACAGAAGCAGGAGGTATAACACAAACAATAAGCAGCAGCAGTTTCTGTCTTGCTGCTGCTGCTGCATCCCCTGATCAGCAGGAGCAGCCGGGTCAGCAGCAGCAGCAGCAGCAGCAGCAGCAGATGGTGACCTGTGTAGACACCCCAGGGCATGCAGCATTTAGATCTATGAGGAGAAGAGGAGCAGCAGCAACAGATATAATATTATTAGTTGTTGCTGCTGATGAAGGAATAAAGACACAAACTATTGAATGTTTATATTTAATTAATAAAATAAATAAACAAATAAATATAAATAAACAAATTA